TCTTCCCATTTACCCTAAAAACATAATTTTTTGTCAATTTAAGTTGAAACACTTCCATTATTGAGATGTTTTGTGTTGGACAATCATTATCATTCATTTGACACTCTCAAATAAGATAAAATTATGTCTAAAACTTACACTTTTTTTTTCCTTCCGTGCCCCTACTAACCCTTACTAACATTTCCCCTAGGTGACGCGCATAAAAAGTTGAGAGCGGTTTATCGTGCAGAGAGATGTATAGACAACGTAGGGAATCCAATGAGTTGTTGTAAAGACTCATAAATCTCAAAGGTCAAAGACGGGTTTTAGGGAGCTCAAGACTAGTACGGCGAAGTCGGAATTGAATAACATTGGTGTTAACGAATTAAATAAGTAACTCTCATTCTTTTTTGTTATTCTTGAGGCACTAGTTGCTTTGAGACTGCCGTTTGGTAAAGGTGGCAATGGATACTCACTCCTTTTTTTGATTGATTTTCAAACATCAATAAAATGACTCCTTTTTTGATTGGGAAGAAAGTGGCAATGCAAATGGCGTCAACTATGGTGGTGATCAACAAAAATTATAGTTTAAATTTTATTTCTAAATTTATACACAATTGTTCTAGCTATTGTAAATTTATACGGAACACTATTGTAATACGGAGTAATAATTACGGAGTATTATTTGTATGATACACTAGAGATATGTTTGACAATTCAAAACATTGTGTCATCTTTTGTATAGGAATATGAACTTTTGGCAGGTCTCTTTGACGTACCGTTGTCTTGATTTATCAACTTACGGCGCAATGAATACAAAATTATAAACTAAATATATATCAGTAGCGGAGTATTGCTTGGTAATTAGGTTGTTAATGTATAGGAAAAAAGGCGGTCTCTCCCTCTATAGGGTGTTGTTCTCCCATTTTCGTCATTGACGAAGAGCAGCCGTCAGTGAATTTTGATCATGCAAGCAGACTCGTGACCAGGGATGCAACGCTATGGCGATCGTGGCTTGTTTTCTGTTGTTGTTTCTAGTCGAGGGACGAGGGTAGACAAAGAAAAGGCGGATAAGTTGTGGCGGAGCTTGAGTTCGATTCAGCAGCAAAGGATATCAATGGAGGATATCGTCAATCAATACAAAAGCATGACTTTGAGGCGGAAGATCGGCGGGATCGTCTCCCTCAGCTCCCGAGCTGCCGCCATGGAGTGCAAGAGAGTCTAGGGTTTGGAAGAAGATGAATGAATCCTGGTTTCATTCCGTTTTATATTATTTGTGTTTTTCTTTCGAATTGCATGTTGTTTTGAGTGCGTTCTTATTTCCTAGTAGAAAGCTTCTAGAATTTAGGTCAGATGATGAGAAGTCTGGTTTGTCAGTCATTGACTCAATGCCCTTTACAGAATCAACGAATGTTAGTGCTTCTACAGATGTGATGGATTTTAAGTCCGGTTAAATGGAGGATGACACGCAAAAAACTTTTTTCATTTTGTTTCCTGCTTTTTCTCTGATTGTATTTCTATTCAAGTGATGGACGTTTTGCTGATTTAATATATTTGTTGGTTTAACGATAAAAAAAACTTAGGGCACAATGAAGGTTGATGTTTAACAAATTACTTTATCATTATTATTACTATTATTATTGTTGTTGTTTTTTCTTTATCATCATTGATGTTTTTATCATTGTTATTATTATTTCTATTATTATTATTATCACCACAATCACTATTACTATAATTATAATTAGTATTATTATTTAATGTTAATTAAAATCTGATGTTTTTAATCCTAATAAAAGAATAAAAATAGCTCAAACTCCTTTTAGGTGTGAACAAATCTATTATAAAAAAGGAGTGAACAAATCTTATTTTTAGAAAAATATCATATTTGAAAAAATGGGATATAATATTGTTCTATTTAGAAATTATCTTTAGCAAAATGACACAAATCATCCTGAAAAATGGCAACTGCTCCGTACATTACAACTACTGTTTTCTGTTTAAAAAAATTTGACTCCTTCAATAATTTTTCCACGAAAGTGACTCATCAGCCATCACATAATTATTATCTCCGGACCTATTTAACATAACATTTATAATTTTAATAACGAAAAAAATTATAATTTTTTTATAATTTTAATAACAGAAAGTATATAATGTCGTCCTGCATGCCACACTGCACCCAGTGGCGGACCCAGAAGTTTCCCGAAGCAGGGGCACTCCAACATAGATGAAAATGGGTCGGGTCGGGCCGAATTAGGTGTATCATTGGTCTTTTTTGTTAAGTGCGTTCAAATTAATATTTTTAACTGGAAATAGATTATTCAATGCCGACGTCAAGCAGTGAACATATATGGATTGTAAATCTAATTGTGAACTCAATAAGACAATTCAAAACAATAATATTTGACTTTTGGAAAGAAATACATAATTTGATGGACAAGAAATGACTCATCTTTGTGGAGTTTATGATTTTACATTAGAACTTTCGCTATTTTTCATAGTATAAAATGATCAAGATTTCATATTTAACTAGGATCATGTCGTTGTTATACATTGTGCCACAAAATTTGTTGGTACTTGAATGATATAATACCATCGTGTTAAAAATGAAGTATAAGTCAAGTTTAGGATTTTATCATTTAATACAACTTTATTTATTAATATGATTATATATATACATACATATATATATATATATATGTATATATATATATATAGCTTTTACGAGTATCATATTATAGAAAAAATTTAAAGGGTTTGTCAGTTTGAAACTAATTTATCACGAATTGATACATTCTTTCATGTATGGACTTTTATTCAAGATCAAAGTCTTCAATCTTTTAAGTTTATCCCGCATATTAGAACCTTTTTCATATCTTTGAACTTTAACTTTGAATCAACATTATTCACAACAAGTAAAAAACCATCAATGTCACTTTTCAAAGAAAGTGCAGTAACCATATAACAACATATCTAACTATATGAATTTGCTCCATCACAACTTCAGAGTTGTTTATATTTTTTACTACAATTATTATATGTCTTTGACGGAGTCCTATATTTCTAATCGTTTTTTGAAATAATGACAATATGATTGAAATAAAGATAGTGGACAAAAATATGACTTAGGTACTACCATAACGATTTTAGTGACCATAATTCTGTTCATTAGTTATATTCCGGCAATATTTATAAAAAATACTCTTTTTTTGCCCGGATAGCAAGAGCACAATTTTTATCTTAAATACTAATACTAAATTTCATGGTCGGAAGACGGGGCCCCTCCCTAGGTCCTCCACTTACTGCACCCACTTGTCACCACTACCATCACTACCGTCATTGCCGCTATGACGCCACCAACAATAGTGACTAGCATCTACGATTATTATCAGAGAGTTTATCTCGCATCCACTTTAGGAACTACATATACATATTTGTTATTTCAGTTCCTACATAAAAAAATAAAATAAAATAAAAAAGTTTTTCATTTGGTTTAGTTCGCCACATAGTTACTAGACACCTTGGAGGCATGTTACTCATAGTTACCGATGTTCAAAAACACTAATCGGGCCTTAACAGAGCGCCTAGTGCCTAGGCGAGATTAGTCGGAGGCATAGAAAATATATTTTTCTATATGATTTTTTGCATAAATAATTTTTTTGAACGAAAACTTGCCTCTATTCATATCATAAGTTTCAGGATCATTACATCAATCAAAAGAAAAACAAATTTCACACCAACTAGACTCCAACAACTACGACTGTAAACCCTATGATGAGCCTTGGAAACGGTCACCCCTGAAAGAGCAACACGAATCACTAAACATGTAACGAGTTTGACACAACCATCAATATTCCCATAGATCCAAACATGCTCAATGTCATCAAACAAGGCTAAATTCCCAAACAAACTGACAAACCTAACAACATAGGCGATAACAAGAAACCAAATGACAAAATAATGAAAACTTATTGGAAAACTTTCACGGACTCTAGCATCTCGCACAACCCATGGCGGTGGTTGAGGAGGAGGTCATATCCTTGGTACCATTCTAATTGATCCTCCATTGTCAACCATCATCTGGCCTGCTCGAAATCCGTGCAATTCTCCTCGTCCCGCGCTCGTAGCAATCCACCGCTAGCGGTCATATTCATCGCTGCCATGCTCTTGCTACCCTGCTCACGAAGGGATCGATCGCCGAACTCTGGTTTCGATGTCATCAAGTTTGGGCAAGGATTCTCATCAATCTGCCTCAAATCCAATCCTAGTGTCGGACACATGTGAAGGGGATTCACCGGCCGGAAGAACCAAACCTTAGATCTGCTAAGGAAAAACCAAACCCCAATCCTGCTAGAAAGAGAGCGTGGCGCGGAATTGGGAGAACTTAATCATATCATATGTTTTCATAACAATAAAGCTAAAACAATTAAACTTAAATTTTTGTATTTTTGCATAAATAATTATTTATGATAGATAATATTTTGTTTTTATGTGTCTATAAAAACTCTCTAACACTAATTTTGTTTTGGCGGTCACTCATTTCATCCCCAACGCGTCGCCGCCAAGTCATAAAAAACCATATATTGGGATGACATTTGAAGACTTGGACGAGGCTTATAAATTTTACAATAGTTATGCTTATTTGACTGGGTTTAGTGTACGCAAAGATCAACATTACCCCAGTGCTGCAAAGGCTCCCACTTATGGTGGGGTAAGTGGGGTCAGATGTACGCAGTCTACCCCTACACTAAAACACAGAGACTGTTTCCGAATGACACGGAACGATGTAGATATAATATTCGCACGAGTGTAAAGACATGTTTGGTGTTTCTAAAACTAAAAAACATGATTTCCACCCCAGTTCTCTCCTCGCTCAAACACCAACTTAACGATGTTTTAGTTGAGTTGATTCCAGATCAGAAAAGATCAAACTATACTAAACTTATATACATTAAATCAGATCGGATTTCTATAATTGTAAGATATACATAGAAAACATACTAGATCAAAACAAATGAAAAGAAAACATCAAAATTTAATCAATTAATTAACGAATTAATTCCATAAAGGCTTGCGATCGGACACATTGAACATCCACCCCATTCTTTCTGTCTCCTGTACAGTTTTAGCGGCACATGTTCTGAACTTCCTAAGCAGTTTGGGAAGGAAGATCTGCAAATTTAAGAAAGGTAATTGAAACTAGACAAGAAGGAAAGGAAATCGGAAATTGGAGAGATTCCCTGAACTTCTGTCTCTCTCTAGTGCCGCTCACTGTTGTGTTCCATTCTACAGCGCATTGCATATGCCTTAAAAGTTAAAAGTGAAACAGCTGATCTGATACATTTCTCTTCCCCACGGCAATTTGAAGATTTCAGGTGGATTTTCTTTCAAGGCATGTAATCTACGCTTATTGGTTTCTGGCTGGAACGGCACCGTATTCTTTCGTTTCCCTTTTCTTGTTATCTATTTATTCATTTTGTGAAGAAATAAACTGCAATGGCTCACGTATCTTTCGTTGATCGATCAGATAGTTTATAATATGGACTTACGAAGAACTTGAGTTGCGTTTCTTCTAATTGAGAAACTGGAATCTCCGAGAAAATTTATGTCGACCACTCACGATTTCTTCCTGATCTCTATTTATGCAGCTTGTTCGCCGGATCACTTGAATTTCCATAAGAAGAAGGTTGACGCTGTTTGAGATCGTTAGAAATCACCACATTTCAATATATTTGCGAGTCAAATTGGATATTTTTTTTAGGTAATTTGACTTATTGCGGGGATACTTCCGTGTAGTTGAGATAAACGGGTAGATGCCAATAGTTGGATCATGAAGTCGTCGAATATTAATAGGGTTACTTCAGTTCCAGCTCAAGGATCTTCCCCAATGAACTATCCAAAGACACTGTTATCAATTGTTTCTTCTGTTGGAGGCCTTGCCATGTTCTTACTGCTTGCTTCCTCATTTCTTGCTTCTCGACCTAATGAGCCTTCTGTCCGTCAGCATTTCTATAGAGCTGATAGTTCAAAAGAGTCTATTGTAGTGCCTGGGAGAGATGGAATAGATACAGACACCAAGCATAGTAGCCCTGATGTGGGGCCTGCAAGCGGTTTGAACATAAGAAACTCAGGTTCATCAGAATCACAAGACAAAGAATCTGGGGTTCAATCTGTGAATAGTAGTGTAATACAAGGAAACATACACTCATATAATTCTAGTTCAGAGGAAGGGAAAAAGGATGAGAGTCTTCCATCATCTGACCTCAATTTGGATTCAGTGACATCTTCATCACCTGCAATCAGAGTAGAACGGCAGGCCAGTTCAGGTCTGTACGACCTTATTTACCAAGTTGTTTAAGCTCAGTTTGGTTGCCAAAATTAGATTACTATGCTCATTAGCAGAATAAGTAGCTTTTAACTTAGTCATTTGGCTGACGTGGATATTACCACTTACCAAACACTTCTCGTTGCAGAAAATTCAGCATATTTTGCCACTGCAGCCAAATAACCTTTGCCAAATGGGTTCTTAATTGTAGCCTTTTATTATACTTGGTTTTTGGTCATGTTCCATGATGTGCATGTTAGTATTACTTTAGCAGTCACGTAATCATCTATATTCAACTCTCTTCGTGGTATTTTGTGATTTCCATGCAAGTGGAAAAGAACTATGATGATAACTATTTTGGAATTTCATCTCATCAAGCGCATCTTGCTCAAAACTTTGCCTTCGTGTTTTTTTTTTTTGCATTATTTTATAGGGTCAGGTAATTTTTGAAAATAACTCATCACTAAATATCATGCAACCAATTCTATGCTCCACAGTTATTCAGATTCTTCATGATATACTTAAATGGACGAGCAAAACCAATTAAGTTGGTGGAGTGAACCCTTTCTTCTCAAGCTTTATTATGCACAAATAAGACTTCATGTTGCATGTTGATCCTGAATTTAAGCGAAAAATATCTGTTTCTAGTTCTGAAGGCGTTATTTTAGCCTCATTAGTTTGGTTTTAGACTCTTAGGTTCAATTAAACATTGCTTTGTTTTTGGAAATATTTCAGAATGTGATCTATACCATGGGAAATGGATCTTTGATTCAACTGGACCATTGTACACAAACAACTCCTGCCCCGTCATAACACAGATGCAGAATTGCCAAGGAAATGGAAGGCCAGATAAAGATTATGAGAACTGGCGTTGGAAACCTGATCAATGTGACCTTCCTCGGTTCAATCCTAAAGAATTCTTGGAATTAATGAGAGGGAAGACTTTAGCTTTCATTGGTGATTCGGTTGCCCGCAATCAGATGGAGTCATTACTGTGTATACTTTGGCAGGTTAAGCTTTGTATGAAGTAATTTTGTGCTTTTCATTTAATGGGGTTAGCACAGGGTTGATCGAGTGGTATATGGAAAGACACACACACACACATGATTGGCTATTCTCTTTAATAACTTTCATGTTTCTCTCTTTCTTTCACACACCCTAGTGGGTTGAGCTGCAACATCTGAAACAGGGTTGGCTCTCGGTTCAGTTCGGTCGGTTCCATTTTGAAAATGCAAAACTAAAAACCAAATCGAATTACTTATATCTGTTTTGCTAGGTTTAGGTTGGTCTTTTTTTGTCACTTTTGTTAAGTTCTTTCCATTTTAGAGACTAAACCTTAAAAAACAAACCAAACCACCCAAAGGTTAACTCCTGTTATGTACTACAGAGTACTTATTACGAGCCCTCTTTCGCAAGTCCTGAAATGACAAATGGGATTGAATCTGCTGAAATTAATTTGGTGAAAGGGCTGAAATCAGCTAATATCTAAAATTCATTTCAGATCTACTACATTGGTAAATACCTAAACTTCATTTCAGATCTACCACCTTGTTAAATAAATTAGTAAAAATAATATCTAAAAGTCAAGTTTGGAGAGTGTCATTTTGATTAGTTTTAACCATCTCAGCCAAGATGTTAGCAACCTCTGCACTAATTTTTTAAATTATCAGTAGAGCCGGTTCAACCTGCTATTAAAATTATTTAGTGTTTGCTGAAAATTTGATAAGTTTGATAAGCCAAACGCATGCACACCAAACAGGCACTCGTGACGGTAAAGAGTAAAATCTTTCATATATTTTTTCTTTGTTCTAACTATGTTCCTTGAGTATTGTTGATTTGCCTTTGTTATTGCAATGTTTTTCTTATATTCTTTTCTTAGCTATTGTTCGGTCGTATGAATGATCAGCAAAGTTACCACTTACCAGAACATACAGTTACTAGGAAATTAAAATTGTTTAATATGTGGACTCACTAAAAATTTAGAGTTGAAATGCAATTGAAATCATTAACGCGCCTCTAAATTTTGCAGTTCAGATAGCATTTGAAAAACCTCCAATATAGTTTTGGATAACAATGTTTTATGATCCCCCTATGTTTGCAGTTTGAAGCTCCAAAGAACCGTGGGAACAAAAGAATGCAACGCTATTATTTCAGATCAACATCCACCATGATAGTCCGGATCTGGTCATCGTGGCTGGTCAACCAGACATCTGAGCCGTTCGATTTTGCTCCAGCGGGCGTGGCGAAACTCCACCTCGACGTACCAGATGATGTCTTCATGGAATTTGTTCCCCAATTTGATGTGGTCGTCCTTTCCTCTGGACACTGGTTTGCAAAGCAATCAGTTTACATCCTGAACAACGAGATCGTCGGCGGACAGCTCTGGTGGCCAGACGAATCAAAACCAAAGAAAGTCAACAATATCGACGCTTTTGGAATATCTGTAGAGACAATTCTCACTGCCATGGTCAAACACGCAAAGTTCAGCGGTCTAACCATTGTGCGGTCCTTCTCACCTGATCATTATGAGGGCGGGACGTGGAACACTGGAGGATCATGTACCGGAAAGATTGCTCCGGCAGTTGACAGTGAGTTGGCTGAGAATGGGTTTACTAATGTGATGCATGAGAAACAGTTGGCTGGGTTTTCACGTGCCGTTAGGAAGAGAACTAACAAGTCGGCGTTGAAATTCATGGATATTACGAAAGTGTTTGGGTATCGTCATGATGGACATCCTGGGCCATATCGAAGCCCAGACCCAAATAAAATCACAAAAAGAGGGCCCGATGGTCGCCCTCCGCCGCAGGATTGTTTGCACTGGTGCATGCCCGGCCCGGTTGACACGTGGAATGAGATGGTGTTTGAACTTATAAGGAGAGAATTTAAAGAAAGACAGGGTAGTACATGATAAAATCACATTGAATGGGTTTTGTAGGATACAACCATTGTCCAACTACAGATATGTTTGTTTTTCACACTTGGTCATGAAATAAGATCATATCATTCTTTAGTTGTAAATTTGTGCATAGCCATAACTCATAAGGATTTGTTTAAGAGATAACTGGATTTCGGGAAAAACTATTGTCAAACATAAACTATACCATATTACTCTAACCATCTCCTGTTCTCCTATTTTAATGTACTGTTATTGAGTCTTATGTATTTTGTCAATTGATCAGCGAAGGACTTTTTTCAGACACTTAAAATCTAAATGCTACTCCGTATGAGTTTAAAAACTTTGAGAAGAATTACATATCATAAAACTGATCTGATGTGTTTAAAAACATTATTTTATTGTTTGTTTTCTATCATTTTTTGTAAATGGTTTTGTACTTGTACCATATTTATTAAAACCCCAATTAGGTAACTTTTTTTCCAACACCCCAATTAGGTAACTTGGAAATAAATAAATAAATAAATAAATAAACAACTGAATATTGCTAATGGCCTTGGATAAGGTGTATTTCAGTCATTAGGATGAATGAATTGATAATGCCAAAGATCTGCATTCTACAAAGTTGGACCAATTATATTGTACTCCGTACTATATAAAGCAAAGCATGCCGAATCATGTACTTTATCTTTAAGTACTGCTACGATTTTTTTAACGAGAACCCGAATAATTTTCAAATATGAAATGATAATTTTTCTTGACCTTTTTTGGAAAATGTGATATGAACAATATTTTAGTACGTTTTTATATGCCATTAAATTTCTGTTTTTTTTTTTTGTTATGCCGACTTTATTGAGTCTATAAGATTTGATTTTATTTGTACTGTCAGAACTAAACTTTTAAATCTGTAAGATATGGGTAATGAGTTTTTCTAATTTAGTGGTATCACACTATCACGTATGTGATTGAATTTGAATAAGGTAAGCATTCCTTCCATATTAAATTTCCTTCTTGCTTACATTGTCATTCTTATCAAGAAAGTAATATTGTATGCTTAAATTTATTTCAAAGTATAGTAACTAATTTCGATCAATCCAACATTGTCAAGTTTGCATATGAGAGAAAAATAAAATAAAATACAAATATACTTTAAATGTAAATACAAATATACTTTAAATAAAAAGTGACATTTTTTAGGGCATAATAGTATAACAAAAGAAAAAACAACAAAGTCCAATGACACATATGGAGTTATAATAGAAAAAAAGTATTAAAACACAAATAAAAAATGAAAACATACAGGTAATCTAAACCTAAAATATTTTAATTGTTAAACGGTTAAACCTTTTGAAAGATTCATACACACTAAAGACTTACTCGTCATGATTTGAAGACTGTAATTGTTGGATTTTGTTAAATGTCCCACAGCGGAAACATTTGGATGAACAAAGTGCTATATTAACGCACATGCTACTCCTCCTATCAGGTTGACCTTTTAGGATGGAACCTCGTGTTTTAACATGGTATTAGAGCCAAATCGATCCATGGTGTGAGACCCCTTATGAAAAATGATGACACGATTATAAAAAAACAACCGGAAGGAAAAAAATGGACTGATGAAAAAAAAATGAATGATTGCACAATCCAGACAAAGTAGGAGTGTTAAATGTCCCACACCGGTAACATTTGGATGAACAAATTGCTATATTAACACAGATTCACTCAAGGTTAACTTGAGATGTTTCTAATTTCCTTTTTCATACATAAGGTTATCCAAATCATTCAATTCATTGTAATCTAATCCTACTCAAATCATCCAAAGTTGACTTACCCAATAGGTTAATACTTCATGCAGAACCAGGTCAGTTTAATTTGGGAAATTGTACCTGTATTAGACCAAAAGTTTACTAATCGTTGAAGTAATGCAACGTGGAGTATATTAATATATTATTAAGGGGGAAAATGGTCTATAGAATAATCATGTATTTGTGCAGGGATATAAAGTATAAACAATAATGGCACTTTCCGTAAATTTATAAAATAAAAGTATTGAAATGGTCAATTTTAAATTGTCCTAAAAATACAAAGAAAAGGCCTGTGGTAGGAAAATAATGGACTAGCTTCAACGTTTACTCTACAGCTTTGTTTTTTACTATTGATAATTAATACAGTATGAAATTTTAAATTTTGAAAGGAATTTTCTTCCCACAAATATCTCATTTTAATAATGAAATCATTTAACTTTTTCCTTTTAAAAAAATCCATCTTATTAAATGTGCAATGCGGACTTCAAACCATGTGCTTAACCAAAATTTATGCTTTCAATATTCAATTAAATATTAGCTACTCCCAATAGTTACTATATTTGTTTTTTCAACTTTATTTGAATTTTATAATTTATTTTTGTTTGATTTTCCAGCTTTATTTCCACCAACTTTTCAGGCAAAACCCTAATTTCAGACCTCATCATATTCTACTACAACATCAAAAAATTGTGACTTTCACCCAGTAAATTGGAGGAAAAAATAAAGCTGTTCAACAAAGATAATTATTTGCAGCTTTTACCCTGTACTGCCATGGCAGGGGTTAAGCTTGCAATTGCTAGTTGATCTTCGTAGCGCGCAAATTATTGTGTGTTTTTGTAGATTTACGGCGCTTCTTCTGTAGTGGATTGTTTACTGTAAGCTTTCTTAGGTTCTAATTACTTTGTTTTGTTTTATTTCTGTTGCTCAAGCTTTTTGATCTCGAAGATTAGGGATTTAATCTCAGATAGTTATCAGGGTTTAAGAGTTATCTGGGGGTTTGGTTAGTGCATATTTATGGAGGAGAAAGGGGTAAATAGTCCAGGTGCCACTGTGAAAAGCGACGATGGAGCTTCTGAGAGCCTTCAGGTGGTGGGTCCGAGGAGCGAAAACCATAGCCAGTTGATGAGCGGATCGGCGGCGGCAGAAACACCGGCAACGCCACCCAGCAGTGCGGCGGCGGCGCCACCTTCAGCGGAGGTGACGAAGAAGAAGAGGGGGAGACCCAGGAAGGACGCCACACTAGCCATGGCCTTGTCGCCTATGCCGATTTCGGCCTCAATTCCTCTTTCTGGAGATTATTCGGCTTGGAAACAGAGTACAAACAGGCCTACTGAATCCTCCAAGAAGAAGCATAAAGTGGACTATGAAAATCCAGGCAAGACCCCCCCCCCCCCCCAACCCCGCTCCCACACACACCACTACTAGATCTACCTGTACACTGACGCTCACTTTGATTCCAGGAAAATCATTTGATGGGTATTGTTCTCGTGGACATGTTTTGCTTGAAATTTGGTTTCCTGCAAAAAGTTCTTATTTTTATACTCCGTAAAATAATAATGTTTAAAAATGACTCCATTTTTAAGCAGGCAGTCCTTTTCCACAAAAGTTCAGAGTCGTGGAAAAACCTCCAGGGAAATATTTTTGTACTGGAAGATGTATTTTATAGAATGTTTTCTGGTGCCAGAATCCAGAAAACGTTTCCTAGTAAACAAACGGAGCCTAAATTATTAATGTATCAGTGCTCTATAGGGCTTATGCACTTTGGATGGGACCACAAAACAACAAAGATTCTCTGCTGTCTTGGTTCGTGGTATTGATGTTGTCGAAGAATTTATATGCACCTATAGACTTAAATTATAAATGTGTGTGTGTGTTTGGGAGTGGGGGCGTGGGGTGGAGTGGGGGTGTGAGGGATGTCACTATGTCAGCTCCATAACAAAATAGAGTTTAATACTCCGTAGTCATTATTTTTGTAGGTCATCTTGGTTCCTAATAAGATAAGATGTCATGTTAACTGATGCCAAAACAGAAACAATCTGTCTTTTCCTATTAATTCTTCTTCCCAGAGATCAAGAAGTGAGTAATGGAACTCTATGAATGGTAATATTAGACAGATGATGTGACCTGATGTAGTGATGTGTGTGGGGGTCTGACACAAAGGAATATGCTTGTTGTAGCATTCACTAGAATGTTTCTGGTTTAGAGAATATTTTGTCTGCAGTGGGTGAAATAAAATAATTTTGATCTCAGTCGTGTTTTTTCCACCTTGTTTTCTAGAGCAGATAGCTTCCAACTTTGGGATCAGGATCATCTGGAGTAACTATATATGGAGTTATAACAGGGACAAGCCAGATTGATTTGGAGTAACTTCTAATATCCCAAATAAATCTGGACTGTCTATGTAGTAACTCCATAGTGAAAACAGATTTGGTTTGACACTTCGATAGCATACTCTATAAACTTTACATAAAATATTAAAAAATAATACTAACATAATTCCAATATAGGGAGCTTCAAATGCTCACTGTTTCAATCTGAATGGTTCAATGAGATTTATGCATTTGCACTTTCGCCTTCAGTCATTACCAATTTGTTATGCACTTTGGGATTACAAGTAAATGGATAAAAACAGATTGGGCTTTTCCTTTCAGCAGTTTCCTGATGGCACTAGTGTTTTTGCTACACATTTATTTAATATATGCATATGTGTGTCTGTTTAGGGGAGCGGATGGCATACTCTGTTGGTGGAAATTTTACTCCGCATGTAATCACCATTAGTGCTGGCGAGGTGAGGCCTCTTTTATCCTGTATCTTAGATTTACATGCTTTAAATGATGTGTTATGTTTGGCATCTTCAAAACCATACTGTATGTTAAGTAAAGTCTATATAGATTTACACATTTTTGTTCGAAATATGTCATTTCTTGCTGTCTTGCTAGCAAAGCTCTTATATGCTCCCCTTTAGTTAGTTACTACGTAGTTTATATGATTATTAATTATTTAACATTATGTTTGTTTTATGAGTGATGAACTTTGATGATTTGTACTGTGAAATGTGCAATGCCCTTGAAAATTTCCAGCATGCTACGCTGATCTCTATCAATCTTTTTATTCTTCATAATCCCTAACAAGGAAAAATAATATATGTACCATATGACACATTTTTGGCTTATGCCAGCTAATTCTTTTTTTTCATAATAAATAAAACTTATTTAAAATGATCTGTGTCAACCATGTGAAAAGGAGAGTATAGTATACTTACCTATAACTGATATGAGGAATTCATGTGTGTGAGGTGCAGGATGTGACGATGAAAATAATATCATTTGCACAACAAGGGTGTAGGGCTATTTGTGTGTTGGCTGCAAATGGGGCAATTTCGAATGTTACCCTTCGCCATCCTAATTCTTCTGGTGGCACATTAACCTATGAGGTGAAATTCATCCTCTCACTCCCTTTT